GGAGGGCACCTGGAAGTGGAGGGACCTGCAGGTGCCCTGTATCCCCCCAGGGGCTTGCCATCTTCCAGCCCTCCCAACGCCCAGGAGGCTGAGCCATGGCAAGATGGCAGCTTTTGCTTAAAATGCATCAAACCCCAGCAGCAGTGACTGCTTTCTCTTCCAGAAATGTGTGCCCCTGTGAGCCCTTCACCACCTCTGGTCATGCCTCTGCCCCCCCAGGGAGGGGACAGAGCCCCTGGTGGAGAGGCGGGTGCCCCCCCCCAACACTGCTCTGCTGCTGCCAGGGAGGAGTGACCTTCAGTGGATGCCCCATTCTCACCAGATCCTGGGCTCCGAGCCTGGGCCAAATGCTGACCTCAGTGGGATCCAGACCTGAAAGTCCCTCTCTGGGGTGACTTTCTCAAGTGCTGTCCTCAGACTCCCTGGGCTCTCGCAGGATGGCGGGCCCAGTCCCTGCAGGTGCCTCAGCCCAACCACTGAAGCAGATGGCACCGTGGCCCGGGCATCTCTGTGGCCGGAGCTGGGGAAGGAGGTGGCCTCCTGGGTCCTATCCCAAGAGCATCCACAGTGGCGCTGCCAGTGAAGGGGTGGAGCTGAGGGACCCCACAGACCCCAGGGCTCGGTGGCTGCAAGAGCTGGGAGGAGCCTCATCCTCCAGGGGCTTCAGGGAGGGTGGAGAGGACTCTGTCCCAGCAGCTGTCCGTTTCCTGCAGTGCTGGCTGCTTGTTACAGTGAGACTGACAGGTAACCCACAGCTGAGCTTGTGCTTGCCAGAGCCTTCGTCCAAGTAACCCCCCATCCTTTGGGCCTTTTTTTTTTTTTTTTTTTTTTCTTTTTTTTTTTTCTTTTTTTTTTTTTTTTTTAATAGAGACAGGGTCTCCTGTGTTGCCCAGGCTGGTCGCACACTCCTGGCCTCAAGTGATTTTCCTGCCTTGGCCTTCCAAAGTGCTGGGATTACAGGCATGAGCCTGGCCTGCAGCATTTTGAAGCATGTCTCTAGGGCAGGTGGTCAGCAGACCAGAAGCCACGGCCCCACCACCCAGGCCTCTGTTTTCTCCCTGGTAGAGCAGGGATGGAGCAGCCCCGGCTTCCAGGGTCCCCCTGAGGAAGCCCAGCCCACTCCGTTCTGAGCAATGGGGGTTGGGCAGTTTCTCCAGGTCCAATGGTTCCGTTAGACTCAAGTGGGCTGTAGCACAGTGGACCCTCGGGACTCACAGCAGACCCTCAGCACTCATGGTGGACCCTTGGGGCTCATGGTGGACCCTCAGGTGCTCAGATACTTTCCTCTTAGGAAAGGAGCTATGCCTTGTGGTGACCAGGTCACATAGGAAGGTGAGCCTAACCTGGAACCTGCCCCTTGACTACCTGACCCCTAGTACAGACGGGCAGCGAGTCAGCAGGTGAGGGGCAGCAGCCAAGCCCAAAGGGCCACTGACCACTGGCTGTCCTCTGGTGCAGAGAGGAAAACTGAGGCTTAGAGGGCCCATGAGGCCAGGAAGTAGAGTCAGGTCCCACCGAGGGGCTTCTGCTGCCCCAAGACCCTGTGGAGGGCACCTGGAAGTGGAGGGACCTGCAGGTGCCCTGTATCCCCCCAGGGGCTTGCCATCTTCCAGCCCTCCCAACGCCCAGGAGGCTGAGCCTTGGCAAGATGGCAGCTTTTGCTTAAAATGCATCAAACTGAGCAGAAAGAGTGGTGAACAGAGTAGAATCTGCTTGTTTCCAAGGATCAGCAAGAAGGCACATGTGAAGCTCACCCAGGTTCTGTCTGTTTCTGCTCTCGTACAAAGACCCCATATGGAGCCAGTGACAACGAGG